CCAAACCAAACCCAAACCCAAACCCAAACCCAAACCCAAACCCAAACCCAAACCCAAACCCAAACCCAAACCCAAACCCAAACCCAAACCCAAACCCAACCCAAACCCAAACCCAACCCAAACCCAAACCCAAACCCAAACCCAAACCCAAACCCAACCCAAACCCAAACCCAAACCCAAACCCAAACCCAAACCCAAACCCAAACCCAAACCCAAACCCAAACCCAAACCCAAACCCAAACCCAAACCCAAACCCAAACCCAAACCCAAACCCAAACCCAAACCCAAACCCAAACCCAAACCCAAACCCAAACCCAAACCCAAACCCAAACCCAAACCCAAACCCAAACCCAAACCCAAACCCAAACCCAAACCCAAACCCAAACCCAAACCCAAACCCAAACCCAAACCCAAACCCAAACCCAAACCCAAACCCAAACCCAAACCCAAACCCAAACCCAAACCCAAACCCAAACCCACGACTAAAGTCAGACCCAACATTTTGACTTTTATTCATCTTAATTCATTATCTCAACAAATACTCATTATAAATCAATATATTATATATCAATATACTCCAAATTGAATATATAATCATATAATAACATAATATTACATCATTATTATGACTTATATAAGTTAATTTCATATAATAGATTAGACAATTAGAATATCAATGAAAACATTTCAAAATCATTTCAAATCAATATATCACCTTATAAATCATGTTGATAACAATATATATCAATTTCACATACTTTGTTATCATATCAGGGAATTAACTATTCAACTTGTCAACTGACCTATACTAACATTGAAGATAGAAATCTGTACCACTACAATTCACTTCCAATACATCTATACATGATAATTAAATATATCTATATGATTCAGAAGATCATCCATATCATACATGGTACATGGCTTATCCACTTGATACCTACAGGGATGTGACAATGACATCTACTATACAGATCATCATATAATTGATACAGTACCTTGCTAATGATGAATAAACACCACTGTATCAGTCTCATGACAATTTGAACTCATTCAACATGTCAGGAGTGTAATCATGAGAATTATGAATATCAAGAAAATGAAATCATATTAATTTTAAAATCTTTCAATTATAATATCATATATAGATCAATTTAACATGGTATATCAATAATTGGTATTGAATTTCATATCA